TAACGAGTAAATATATGGTTAAACAGTTCATCTGTACATTTTTACCACGACGAAAAACGGGTCATTTTGATCTGTAGGTTATGTTCGACTAAATAATTCTTAATGAACGGGCTGATTGAGGTTTATCTTAAGATTTATAGTCTGTTTTAGGCAGTGGAAGGATTTTATGAAAAAGTCTGCAATCCAGAGAACAAGGGTGCTGTGTTTCTTGCCGTTTGCCTAGGAAAGGTATGGTGTTTACCGCATTTTTCCAACGTATTAATACTAAAGTTATGAAACACAGACAGTTAAGACCGCTTGTTACGTTTAAAACTTTGTACAGTAATAAGCTCTTGGTTAATCTGCTGAAATCTCGTCAGATTTGGTGGAAACAGGTGATAATTTCATGTCCAGAGTAAACGAATATAATCCTTGATTCTAACCCTCTATTATAAGTAGTTGGGTAAGAGTTAGGGTGAGGTTGGAAATTAAAAGTTAGGATTAACTTCGTAGAGCTTAGACATGAAACGAGCTATGGGCGTGAAACTATGATCGAAACATACCAGTCAAACACATCCTCATAGCAGATCGTAAAAAGAATTGATACAAGCCTCAGATGTTTTACAAGAAACTCGTGTGTTTCTCACGTTTAGTTCAGCGAAGGTGTTGACTTCAGTGATATAAACGGTCGTGCTGTCGCCACAACTGGTTTACCTTATCCACCGGATTTTGATCCAATGGTTGGGGTTTCGATTAACAACCTAGCTAATGATCTTTTAATATTCGCAAAAATAAATTGGGAAATGAGTCTTTTGATTATCGTTCAGCCGATAATAGGAATACGTTGGGATTTGTGCTTACTCAAGTTTAATTTATTAATAATATGGCTTTTTAAGATCCTCTACTCTGATTGGTTGGTCGTGAAACACATATCCGTCGGTCAATAATCAGTTATTATTACCCCGGTTATGGTAAAAATCTATTATCTCTAGACATCTTTTCCAAAGTTCAAAAACATTTTTTTTTGTTTTCCCTCGCATTTCAGGTGGAATTGAAAAAACAATTCCTAGATGAGGTGGTAAACAAAAGAGAATTTAAGGTTGGTTATAAAGTACTTTTAATCATAATTTTTTTTAAGAACTAAACTATTAAAATTGCTTTGTGGTTTTACAATCCTATACGAAACCAGGAATATGTGGCAATTCCAGACTCAAAAGTCAATTTAGCCCGTATTCAAATAGGGAAACTTTTGTGCTGAGAATTTTATCTGAAGCTCTGTCAATTCAATTCGTGACTGTGGACTCAAAGTCATATATCATTGTTTATACCATCACTACCACAATAGTTTGATAAACTTCTTCTGAGTCCGGAACAAATGTAGGTACTATTTCACTCATAATCTTGTATTTTCAGGGATTAAATGGTCAACAATGGTATGGTCAGCAGGCATCTCGAGCTGTCAATCAAGCCATCGGTCGTGCATTATGTCATAAAGAAGATTATGGAGTTATACTCTTTTGTGACGAGAGGTGTGTTTCTTCAACTTTAACATGGTCCAACAAATTTTGGATGAGAATTACCGAAAACCCTGTCAAATTACCCTGCATATCCGTTCTAATCTGATACCCAACTTCAGGTCTGCGGGTACAGTAGCCATATTTTGTTCAATGAATTTCTATCGGACTTCACATCTAAAATGCGTTTCCAGTAGTCAGACTTTGACTTGTTGGAGCAAACAAGATTTTTATTATAAAACATGTAAACAGCTTGAATTTCTAATGAGCAAAATAAGGCTACCCATACCGTAGACTGCTTCAGGGTAAATTAAACTTTTAATATTTTGTGGGAGGGACGTCTTCAGTGAAAACGTGACTTTTCTGTCTAATTTTTTTAAATAATGAATGCACTCTGTGTCAGTCAATATTTAAACTGTTATATGATTAGTCCTTGCACCCCCAAACCAGGTCAGGTGAGATCCATTTAGGCAAGCGAGTTTGTTGAATTGTGTCCTCATTTTCCAAGGTTCTGCCAAGAACAAAAGCGGAACTGGCAAAATGGATGAAGCCGTATATTTGTGCATATCCGACATTTAAGGACCTTCAGAGGGAGTTACGGTATTTTTTTACACGAGCAACCGAATTAATGAGTTGTTAAATGAAGTATCGTGATAAATACACGAATAGAGATTCAGTCAAGTCCTAATTCCCCTCTGTTCTTAATTTAATGATATGGGCTACTGTACCGCTACCGCCGGTAGGTGTGTAATGGTACGGAGAGACAACAATATAAACTTAAAAACTACCCCGTATTCTTGTTTTTGTGTCTTTAAGATCTAAACACCAAAATAAAACGTTACATCTCCAAGCGCTTTTTAAATATCGATGTTGTTTATATTGTGGAAATCCCATCTTTTCATGTCTCATGCCGCTCTTGGGCCAGCTGTTTGTAAAATGGATGAAGTTATCACCTGGATAGTTTTTTCAAACGTAGAAAGGACTGCTGACTAACTAACCTAGCATGACCAACTGATTGAGCCTTACAAATTTATTTAAAATGGTCAAAAAGAGTACATATATGTGATATATATTACAAGATTTACTTTTAAAAATTTTAGCTTTTTAACCCTTTTTCAGTTTACCCGAATTTTCGACTGAACTTTGCCCGAACTTTTAAGTTCTCGAAATTTTTCACACACACCCCCCCCCCCCCTGTCCCGTACGGCTATGGAGACGAGGCAGGAAAACAGTTACAATTGTCTTATGAGTTATGGCTTTTCCAGTTAAACAGCTGAGAAAAAATTGGTTCATCATCTGTAGCCTTTATACTCCTGTCACATGAATCCTGTGCCCAACAGTATATTTTTGTTTGGATTTCAGCCACTATTGAGGCGAGCCGATCCACAGATTCAGCCAACGAGCGAATAATCGCGTTGTTCATCATTAATTTTTCAATTCTAAGGTTTTCAGTGCTTTCTGCACAATCAGATTGAACAATTGACCGCGTTTGTTTCGCCACGGTATATAGAACCGCCAGGCAGCATAACCTCGCCGGTTTATAGATCGACTGTCATCAACAGTGTTGAATTTTTAGTCTTAGTAGCCCTGTCTACGCTAGCAGTCGCGCTTGCAAGATCGCCGCTCGTGCACATAGCTTTAATCACGCGAGTACGAATTTCTTTCGCGTTCTTTCCATCAACTACCAGGAACGTTTTGTTTTTTAGCCGGGAATCGTAAAACCTTCCGCCTCAAAGTCTCTTTTCATTTGCTGGCGATGACCACGTTCCTCAGTGTAGGATAAGACCATCCCTTACGAATTCTTTCAAGCTGTACTAGCTAATTGCGGGTACTTCATCATAAATATGTTCACTATATTAAAGAATGCTGACTCAATGTCTCGCTTGCTCACCAAAACTCGCGTGCGTAAAGGAATTAATTATCCAGGTCAACAAAGGACCGCTCACTTGTCGAAATTTTTCGAGAGGCTCACATTTCGCGAATAGTTCGTTGCAAATTGTTTTCAAAAGCGTTGTTATATTGTGGTTCAATATTCTATATTGAAATTATCGAGAAAATATGTAAGTATATTTAAGATTTTACGATTTCGGGTAAAAACACTGTGGTGTATTACATATATTTTTTGTCTTAGTTCATTTTGCGTAATATCAAGTGGCTTAATATATAAAATATAAAGAGAGAAACGTGTTTCCACAGTTCCGCTTGTGTTTTGGAAGGAAGAGAATTTAGTTCACTTTCGAAAGCGAGGAAGTAAACTGGACGTTTTTATATTTGATTTAAGAGCGGAAATCGAAACCATACTAAAATACGGCAGCTTAGCGCAACGAATAAATTAAAAGCGCGCGCAAATAAAAACGCGCAGGTAACTCCCCAACGCATGTACCACGTCAAATCACAGCTTTGTAATCAGAATTTTTCTGTAACTCCTTTACATTTAGGCGTATGAATGGCCTAGAATTGAATTCTGTGTTTCACTCTATAAACGTGTAAGACCGTGCTTCGATCTTCGTTTTTTTTGTTTGAAACTTTTTAACCAATCCGGTTCTGGGTGACCAGAACGGCTTTACGAATGTTAATGATGCATGTTTCGATCGATAGGTGGTGATAATTCTCCCACTACCCAGTTTGGTTAAATAGAGACAAATTTTGTTCATGTTTAACCAAATTGGTTCTGGGTGACCAGAGCGGCTTTACGAATGTTAATGATGCATGTTTCGATAGATAGGTGGTGATAATTCTCCCATTATCCAGTTTGGTTAAATAGAGACAAATTTTGTTCATGTTCAACCAACCCGGTTCTGGGTGACCAGAACGGCTTTACGATTGTTAATGATGCATGTTTCGATCGATAGGTGATGATAATTCTCCCATTACCCAGTTTGGTTAAATACAGACAAATTTTGTTCATGTTTAACCAAATTGGTTCTGGGTGACCAGAATGGCTTTAGGAATGTTAATGATGTATGTTTCGATCGATAGGTGGTCATAATTCTGCCATTATCCAGTTTGGTTAAATAGAGACAAATTTTGTTCATGTTTAACCAACCCGGTTCTGGGTGACCAGAACGGCTTTACGAATGTTAATGATGCATGTTTCGATCGATAGGTGGTGATAATTCTCCCATTATCAGACAAATTTTTTGTTCTTATTTACACGTTTCACCAACTAATGACATGTGTCTATATATATCTTCACTTCACGGTGCAAGGACGTGTTTGTTTTCATACTTTGGGAACGGCAAATAACAAATTTTAGGAAACAATAAAATCTCTGATAACTTCTAGAAAAATGTAAAGTACTACAAATACGTTAATAACGGGAAACACTTATAACAACCAGGTTTCAAAATGTCTGCTAAGTTCATTACACTTGAAAGATTTAAATTTCACAATTCTGAGACAAAGTTCTGTTTAATGTGTTCGGATTAGGCGTCTGAGGCATTATTTCTTTTCGAAGCTTTCTTGTTCATAAACCACAGTACAAATCGACAGTGATTCATGAAATTTTCTTGGGTCATGAAAGACAACTGGGCACGATATCTTTGAATGATTGAATTTGCTTGTTCGTTCACTTGACTATTAATGACTGTCAGTTGGGGGTATATATTAAGGTTATAGCCACCAGAACAACCTATATATAAAGAATGTACGGTTCTAAATTTTCAAGCATAACTGTAATTACAAGAGAAAATTAGTTATGACTTTATGAAATTGAAACCTGCCCTGACATGTTGTTTGAACTAAAAAATGTTGGGCCAACATATCGGCCTTGTTTTAATACGCCTTTAACTCCTTCTGAAAAAAAATAGTCACTCAATACTCAATACCTTTATGGTTTCCCCAATGAAACCGGTCAACCAAAAAAGTTGTGTCCTTGAAGTACGCAGGATCTCTGTTGAGGCAGTAGCTATGCAGATTACATGCATTGTCATATATTATAACTCGAGGTGCTGAAAGGAAAATAATTTGTTTTTGACAATACAATAACAGCAAAATATGACGAAACCGAAACACAAACCTGTTACAAAACTTGTTAGAAAAATGGTACGTTTGGAGATTCCCGTCTCTGCATGACTTGGTAGCCATAGTTAAAACCTACAAAAGAGGAAAAACTCATACATACTTTACTATATATGTATGTATCCATTGTTATAGTCACATACATACATACAGTAAAATGTGTTTTAATTTATTAATTTATTATGTATAGCATTTATCAGTGTCTCTGTATTCTAATATGTTTTTTTTAATTTTATTGTATAAAGAAGATATTACCATGTGGGCAAAACAGTGTGAATATGCCTGGAAGAAAAAAAGAATGTCCGGGATGTTTTTTGGAACAAATTTCATCTGTACGACGTGCAGCGTCAGCCAAGTAAAATTTACGATTTCGACGTTTCGGTAAAGTTGGGAAGAAACACAAGGCGTCGGTTTCCGAATCCTCTATTGGTGCTGAAATAGACGGAGCCGTGGTGCCGGTGGTGTTTACAAATGGCGCTTTTGACTTCATCAAAAATTCCGCAAACATCGGACGCCACATTCGTGGTAAAACTGTTGGCCTAAGTTCACGAAGAACAGCAAAGATAACCGGGTATTGCTCATGAAGAAGCGTCAGTTTAGCCGGACAACTAAATACATTTTCTCCGCTGATGAGTTCTCTGAAAAGGGAATGAAGTTCTTCAGTTGGTTTAATCAACCCACACACAGGAGAACTTGCAGCGATAGAATGAATTAAAGCCTTAATCGGCGGCGGACAATCGGATAAGTGTTCGTAAGTATCTTTGAGCCAGTTTATAAAGGGTACGACAGAAAGGGACACTTTTGTGAGAAGTTGAATTCATTCTCTAAACTGTTGGTCTGTTAAATTGCCATTCTTTGCAAGTTTCGTCATTAATTTCCGGCAGGGATTTGAACTGATCATGACTCTCTCTTTATGACTAGTAAAACGATAAAAATAGAAATAGATAAAAATATTTCAAAGGAAATTAATTCCAGTATTCGACATAAAGTATAGGAACACCAATCAATGACAGTTTATCCTTCATCTGGATCCACATTACATGCATTGAAAATAATTTCCGCCACTTCTTTGAAAGCCCCTTCTACATTTGTAGAGGCTAAAGGTGAGTATATAACACACGAATTTTGGACAGAAGGCAGTCTAGAACGCAATACTAACATATATATTATATTGGTATTGTACTTATCTTCCAGACATTACACCCGATGTTTCAGCACGAGTATTTTCTGCGTTGCATCTCAACAACATGGATTTTCGAAACGCAACAGTTGTGGCATCGCAAACCATTATATCCGGCTCCGGACCACACTGCTGACAAGTATTCCCTGCTGAATAATCTATATCAAGTAAACTGAGGAATGAATACCATGCGTATCGAAACTTATACGATGGCATTTCCTCTTCCGCGGTACCAACATCAGACAATCGACGGGTCCAAACTTGAAAATATGTTTGTAAGGTACAACTAAATAAAGACGCATATACATAATTTATAAAATTACACAAAATACATACACGCTGCCCTACAGCGGAAAAGATCAAGAAGGTTATTATAACACCGAAATATTTCCAGTAACATTTAAGACCACTAGGAATGAAGCGAAGAATTTACAGAATTTTGCAAAATGCCAAACAAACCATGATGCATGTACCTGCCAAACAAAAAATGATGCATGTAATCGCGCAGAACATCGTGGGAGATAAGGTATCTGTCCATGTTTAGAATACCTAAATTATTTCCATCAAAAAAATTTTTTTCTTGGCATGAGGAATTGGAACATAGCCTGTAAGAGACTTGAAGATAAAAAATACATTAATTTCTTAATATAATGGAATACTTTTATTGTGCACTTCCTTCGATTTCAATTGCGAATTATTTGCAGATGGATGGTTGAGAGACCAAACAATTATAGTGTTAAACTTTTAGGCAAAACCAGGACTGTTGAGAATTCAAATTTGGCGTTAAGGAGTAATACTGTAACAACTTGCAGTTTTTTTAAAATAAGTAATTCTAAACGAAACATGCATCGGTCCCTGGTGAGCAAACAATTGGTGCAGAATGGTTACCATAATCAGGTAAGTAAGGGCTGAGGGTTTGTCTAACACAGGCATACTTCATGTTAATCATGAGGCAAATATAACAAGAAATATTAACTAACCATGACATACTAAGGTTCCACTGAAAAGAAATAAGTTTCTTCTTGAAACTAAGCATCCACTGCTTTCTGTGCCTGATCCATTGAACCATGCATGGGAACACGAAGGACAATGACTCAATTGTTCAAACCCATCCGGCATGATTTGGAATATTCCATTTTCATCACATGGCAACAGTTCTTAACGTGTGCTCTTGCATCAAATTATGGTTATGAGCATTGTCGAAATTTACTTTTTCCTTTGATGCACATATGGGGACAGAAGGAGAGCGTCTTACTTCGTGGTCAGGAAAAACATGTTGTAAGAATGGGAAAGATTCGTCATCTTCATCAAGTTTAGTTTGCACAAAAAACATGAACACAGCTGTGAGTATCATATTTGCATGTCAGACATTTAAGACATATTTGTCTGATCCAACAAACGAATATTTACCATGAACAAAAGAACAGACAACATTTCTGCTGCATGGCAACTCATAAATGCTGTCTGTATTCTGTAAAAAGGATTGCAACACAAAAGCAAATTTAGGTCAGTCAATTAACTCAATTTACACCTACACACTACTAAAAGACTTAATGGCTATTTAACAGAAATTCAGACTAGGCCCAAAAAACAAAGGTTATAAAGGTTTCATTCAGCTAATATGTAGAGATCGGTGGTGAAGGTAAGCAAAATGAAATGAATATGATACTCAGGGGTGGATCCAGCGCTAATGCACTAATTTGCATGACACAAGAAAACTGCTAAAAATAACCACTTTGTTTTGTAATGCAAATTTGTGCACTAGTGCTGGATCTACCCCTGATGATACTCACAAAATATTCATGGTCATCATCCTGATTACCTGAGAAATATTTATCTGGTTGTTATATGTACATTTAAGGAACATGAATTTTATAATAACAGTATGCACTTTAAATGAGAGAAGTAGAATACCATATACCTATAGCAGCTTCCAGCAATGAACCATCAACAGCTTCAATTTTTCCAATAAATCGTTTTACTACCATGCAGTGCTCACATGGCTTATTTTCTTCATTAAGCTCTGAAAGTTACATTTCAGTTACTATTTAAGATACAGCAAATGAACACAGAACAAAGGTAACATTGCATTCAAAAGGTTTCCATAGGAATACTTCATTCAATATGTAATGCACTGTACTGTATGCAAACATCATTATAAACAGTTTCAACTTACAGTAAACATGCATACAAGTAACATACCTTCAGCTGTTCCTTGCACATATACATTTAATGATAGAAGATAATTGGAGCGATTGCTGTCACATGAACATCTATACACCCAGCCAAGTCCAGAACCACCAAAGTTATGCAAAGAGCGTTCTACTAAGAGAAAGCAGTTCTTCTAAAACAAACAAAACATATATTGTTGTAGGGGGTTTCACATCTTTATTTACATTCATTGTTTCACAATTAAGGCAATGTATTTGTTAGGAAATTGGAATACATCACCAAAATATGCATAATATAAAAGAAATATAATATAGAACATCTGGTATAAAATTTGAAAGTGCTAGTTAATTAATGCAGCAGTGTTTTGATTCTTAAAAAAAAACTTTGTTAACTAATTAACAGATAAGTAAAAAAGAAGTGTTAAAACAATAACTTTAACTTTTAAAGTTCCTTTAACCCTATCGAAATCTTGAATGGCAAATGCCATTAAGGTCTGTCCAACACCAGCCACAGCACTTGCTCGACAGACTTCAGAAAAATAGGCATCAACATTTGAAACAGCACCAACATATTGATTTGATGCTGGCAGTACATAGTCTGTCTGTAATAAAAGATCTTTGCGGTGATTCAATAGTTTACGATAGACCATAACGATTCATGCTATATTTACTATACAATATATTTATACAATGTCTACTTCAGTTGATTCAAGTACGCTATCCTCACATGATAAGCTCTCTTCTCCTTTATCTGGTAAATACACCACTCGACAGAGTTAAAATGTCAAATTCCATGCGCGAATATTAAATATAGCAACTCTAGCTCTATAAACATTGGGGTTCATTCGTACAAAGTTTGCTAACAAACCTGGTTGATAATTTATAGTTATCTAAGTGATCACAAAATGTATATAAATGGTAATACTTAAGCCTTACCAGAAACCTCCAGAGGCTCTTTATTCCGCCGAAAGGAACGCCTACGTTTACCACTCTTTGTTTTTGGTAAATTCGCGAGATCATATCGACCTCCTCCAACAAATTTAACCTTATTAATGCGTGTATCTAAGGGCCATTTGTTTTTCGAGACACAGAAAAACGAAAAACAGTCTTCAAACTCGCGTTTTCATTTTTCGATTGTATAAAATATTCTAGAAAACAAAACAGAACACGTTATAAGTTGTTGAAAGGGCCAGCCGTTTTCCACAAGCTTGAAAAACGAAAAAAAATCGTCATTTATATACTTTGAATTGCTCGAGCAACAAAAACGAATCTCGAAAAAAATTCTGTTTTTCGTTTTTCGTTTTTGGAAATGAGAAAATCTTGTTCGGAACAATTCGGAGCGAACCAACTGTTTATTTAAAACAAATCAGTATCAAACATGGCTGCTCTGGAAGAGCATGAACCTTTATCCGAGAATTTTTGTCCAAAGAAGAAAACACCATAGAAGATTTATCAGATATATAATTATATATATGTAATAAACGGATGCATCGGTAGAACAATAAACATTTAAATAACATTCTTATGTCATTCTTAAGGGAATAATGTTTTAGCTCATAATTTGCTATATCTTAATCCCTAGTATAAATATACATATACTAACATTATTCCCTTAAGAATGACATAAGAATGTTATTTAAATGTTTATTGTTCTACCGATGCATCCGTTTATTACATATAAATTATATATCTGATAAATCTTCTATGGTGTTTTCTTCTTTGGACAAAAATTCTCGGATAAAGGTTCATGCTCTTCCAGAGCAGCCATGTTTGATACTGATTTGTTTTAAATAAACAGTTGGCTCGCTCCGAATTTTTCCGAATTGTTCTGAACAAGATTTTTTCATTTCCAAAAACGAAAAACGAAAAACAGAATTTTTTTCGAAATTCGTTTTTGTTGCTCGAGCAATTCAAAGTATAGAAATGACGATTTTTTTCGTTTTTCAAGCTTGTGAAAAACGGCTGGCCCTTTCAACAACTTATAACGTGTTCTGTTTTGTTTTCTAGAATATTTTATACAATTGAAAAATGAAAACACGAGTTTGAAGACTGTTTTTCTTTTTTCTGTGTCTCGAAAAACGAATGGCTCTTAGATACACGCATTCTTATTGTCGATTTCATATTACTTTTCAACGCGTAATCCGGAAGTTCGTTGCGAACCTGTCAATTACGTTTCCAACTTCGGAAGTTCGTCGCGAACTTCGGAACGAATTTCCGAACTTCGTACGAAGTTGCAACTTTACCGCCAATTTCGCTGTACGACACGATGAACGAGTTTAAAGAATTGAATGAATTTATAAATGCTTTTTTACAAAAAATTGGCCAAGAGAGCTCAACCAAAATAAAGGAAGTGCTAGTCGCAAACAATTTTACTTCGAGACTAAGTCTAAAATTGCTAAGTCCAGATAATTTGAACAAATTATTCGCTGATGCAAAATTGCCACTTGGGTCGAGAAAGGTATTAGAATACCACCTCAACTTGCTACATGATGAATCGCCTTTACACTTGAAGAAGAAGATTACTAATCATGTTGAGAAAGAGAAGGTGAGAGCCAACCAAAATTTGATTTATTATTGTAATTTACTAGATATTTATAACATGGTAAATAGTAATATTGGAATCGCAATATCGGCATTACATGGCCAGAAAATTCGGACATATTTAACATTCTACTTCCGCCTAAATTTGCATATGGTGTCAAAATAAAGCTTCGTGAGTTTATAGTAAACTGTAATGTGCACAGTACTAAACGCTAAAAATACACCTTTAGGTAGGTCAATTATAATTTGCCTTAATTGCTCGTTGCAGAGCAAGTTAATCTTAATATTTTTATACAGTATTTCAAAATGTTTTATCAGTATTCGTCCTGCATTTTCAAAACAAAGTTTTGGTCATTTATCACGTTGAATACCATATAAAACGAAAACCGTAATAGCGTAGAAATAAAATAAAAATGCAGAGCCGACATAAACCTTTACCAGCATAATATTACCTCAGGATCTTCAATATGACACGAGTTACAAGAAACAACCAGGGCAAATAGCAAAGATGCAATGATTTTCTTAAATTTTGCAAAATTTAAGAATGCGCAATATAATTTATAGTTATGCAAACGAATAATATTTGAACAGATATGCAAATTTGCTACGGCAATCTGCATATTCCATGTCCGCAATTTCTGGCCATGTCGTGCAGTCCGTGCGTAATATTTATATTTTTCTATAAACGGAACATTCCACAAAACCTCTTAGCAAAATTTAAACGGTTGCTACTGATATATTTTGCAGGGTAATACTAATAATAGCAGTTCCAACTCCAGCTCTGAAAGCGAAAACGGTGAAGAGGATAATCCTATACCTAGGGCTAGAGATAATCCAACGCAGAGTTCTCAACGTGCATTATTCAAACGCCGCTTGGAAATCGAAAAGCAAATTGAAGCAGATGAGCAATCGTTGTCTGAGCTGCAGGTAAATTTGGATTCCATGAACATTAATGTTCCATCTTTGCCTGCTATCGGGATTGCAAAAGTAACGTGTGGCAACTGCCATCACCGTGGCCATCGCAATCAGGTAAACCAACCATGCAATTTACAAAAGTGTACGTCGTACACTTATTGTGGTTTACGAGAGAAACACCCAGAATACTTCTCTGAAATGAATAAACTAAAATTAGCAATCAAGAAAAAGCGCGATAACATCAAAGCTCATCAGGAACAATTGAATGGTATTAAAAACTTTGTATCACAAAGTGAGCATCAGTTTCTTAAGGCGTTAACTCCCCGCATGATAAAAGTAGATCCGTCATACAAACTGAACAAGCAAAAACTATTGCGGGACATTCGTATTTTGAGAAAATTTTACAATGGCAAAATTCCGGCTGAGACGACCAACGATGCAGAACAACTAAAAATATCTTTACAGAAATGTAAACAGACCCTAGAACGTGAAGTCGGCGAGGTGGCAGTACATGGTATTCAAGAATATGAACAATTGCATTGCGACAACGCCGAAAAGAGTGCAATAAACCTAAACGTGACAATGAGTGTATCACCAGATAACATTACTAATCATAATAATGTTAGCGATGTTGGTGTGGTTCATTCAAACAGCAAGATTGATAAACAAAAATCAGGGAAAGCACGTAAACTCGTCTTCAAACACAAACGAAAGAGCAGGAAAAGTAAAATTAAGGAACGTTCTAGTTCATCAAGCGAATCCGATTCAGAAAGCGAATGTAGTTCTGATTCAACGAGCGATGATAGTAATCGAAGCCGAAGGGGGTACATCTCCAAAAAGAAACGAAAGAAATCGTCGAGACAAAGACGTCACCGTCGTAAAGGGGTTGATGTTTCCAACAATAGAATTACAGGTTTTGGTGAACGAAATCCGATCAACCCGTCGAATCAAAATTTTTTAGCGACTCAAGTCTATGATCAAAATCAGTTTGCACCTCCATCCCAGTCTCGTATGATCTTACCCAGTACAAGTCAGACAAGTTATTATGGCAATCCAGCATATTATTATAGACAACATTTACCGACCGTCAATGCATATAGCAACCCGTTTTCATGTAATTGGGAACAATGGGCTACCTCCCCAGCTCCGTTTACTGCTGTCAATCCACAAGATACGCGATCGTTAGATTCTCATACAAATATACCACTTGTCTCTGGGTCTTGCGAACAAAATTCAACACAATTGAGGTACTGCGACAATACCACAATGGACAATACGACTGAAGGTCTATCATTGTTGTCTTCGGCTGTCGAGTTCGCGAAGAGTGACACGTAAGGCTAGTGTAGACTTTGTAGTGTTATTTTCTTTGTCATTTTGTGATTTCTTTGGACGTATCTGGTTGTGTTTTGCGTTACTAATAATGACGGGCTACGACAGCTACGTTGCGTTTTGTGTTACGAACTAGAGTATTTGTAAACTATAATGTATAATATTTATAAACTGAATAGACAGTGTTACATTAAAATAAAGCAAGAATATTTGTGCAAAATGTATATTTATTATTGAAACATCAGTGACAGTGTTGCGACTCACAAGTACCCACAAAATTTAAAAATCTGTCTCGATAGACCTGCAGTTATCATTTCCAATGCATCGGATATGCACAAATCTGTGTACTTTTCTGTGTATTTTGGATATCTTCGTAAAATAACTTTCATAATGTTGAAGCAATACTCGCATGTGTTGTAACAGGGATGATAGGGAGGTTGAAAAATGAGTTCAACATTTCTATCTTGTAGAACAGCTCGTAGATTTTCTTCAACGTGGTTAGCGTGATGAAAGCCGCAGTTATCCATCACAACGACATCGTCTTGTTTGATGATCGGGTTCCCAAAGATATCTTCTTGTTCAAGGGCCTCGTCAAAAAAATTTAGTAACTCTAAACCGTTTGATGCCCCTCGAATGATGTTATAATGTGATACTCCGTTTACGCTGTGGAGTAAGTTTACGGTGTAAGTCGCATTTGATGCATATCTTTGCACTTCAATAGCTGGTTGCCCAATCGCGCTGTGTCCTCTAGTTCTGTTCCCATTAGTCACAAGAACTGAACTTTCATCAAAGAAGTGCAATCGGTTCGATGTTACTCCTGAGATCACAGCTAGGTAAACAGACAATTTTTCAACAACATCCTCTCGCTCTGTTTCACGCGCTATTTGGCTGATCTTTTTGTACGAATAACCCAGATCATCAGTCATAATTCGACTTATAGAAGATGTGCTTGACATATTCCATCGGTGACCAACTGTTGCTGAATTTCTTTCGCGTATGTTGATGGTTTATTTTGCTTCAGGAATTCCGTAAAAGCTATAACATCGTCCGTGCGTGCAGTTCGAAATTTGTTGCCTCCAACCTTCGGCTCTATGGTAGGTCTTGTCAGCCACACGTCTATAATGTTTGATATCGTTTTATATGGCAAACGAAGTTCTTTTGCAATTGCGGTAACCGATTGGTTATCTAAATACTTTTCAATTATTTCTTCTCGAACTGTGTTTGGTAAGGCTTTGCCTTGTCGAGTAAACGAATTCATATTTCATTTCAAAATGTTCCCGCCCAAATGAACCGGAAGTGCACAAATATATTTTGTTTCTATTCTATTCTAATAAATTGCTATTTATTTCTATAATTTCGCTTGAATAATTGCTATTTTATATTTCATCAAGTATTTGTAATACAACACAACCAACTTCGAAATGGAAAACGAACTTGCGAAATTCGTTCCAAAGTTCGCGACGAACTTCCGAAGTTGGAAACGTAATTGACAAGTTCGCAACGAACTTCGCAACCGCGCTTTGAAAAGTTATGCGAAATCGACAATAAACTTTTGACTTGAATTGCTATCCGCCTTATTGGATATTCTATATTACTCAGTAACCTGGCCTTGGTTAGTCTTGTTGGTTTTTGAACAAATTTTGTCTGAAATAATACCTCATGAGCAATGGGAGCAACCGCAACCGGCAGAGGTGAATATCGCGGGCGCGCATGACCCCAGCGTGAACGCGCCGAGATGGGCGAGAGAATTGATCGAGCGACAGAGCAAAATCGAGAAATTGTTGGAGAGTAGTGAACGCGGTCAGCGAAGACGAGAACGAAGAGCTAGGAGAAACGAAACTGTCCACTTTCAACGAAACTGTCCAAGTAGAGTCGCACGTAACGAGAACCAGGGAAACGCGACCAGGGCAGGTTCATACCAGAAGTGAATCCGCCCGCGCGCTCACCACCACCACCCGCTCGAAAGATTGCCAGTGCAACGACAAACAACGCCATCTACGCTGAATGCAGAGTTAACGGAAAACAGGTGACAACTTTGGTAGACACCGGTGCCGCTGTGACTCTGATGCACAGGGACGTGTTCAACAGGGTGAGAACCGTTGATATCAAAACACGACCAACAAGTTACAAGTCAACCGGTGGTGGGAGCGAACAACAGTCCGCTGCTAGTCCATACTGTGGCGGATGTTAAGATAAAACTAACGGGAGTTATCGCAAGTCACGAGATACAAGTGTGCGATGATCTAGCACAAGACATGCTTATTGGGGCAGACTTTTTACAACCCCACAATTTCGTTATTAACTTTGCGAAAGGAATGCTCGAGGCCAATGGCGGGACAAGCGAACTGATTTCTAAACAGGACAAACAGATTTGTCGAGTAAGAGTGGCAGAGACAGTTACTATTCCTCCGTACTCGATGATAAACATCGCGTGTAGGGTAGACGGTGGTACAACTGTGGAGGAAATGACTGGTGTACTGGAACCAGCATCGCGGTTTGAGGAACGTTATGCGGTACGAATCATAAAGGTAGCTGCGACCGTAACAAAGGGAACGATCACAGTACGAATTTTCAACTCGAGGTCCAAGCCACGACGAATCTATCGGTGTAGTACTATGGGAAACCTAATTCCCCTTACGGAATTAAGAACTGAATCTCCATGGTACGAGTGCGCCAAAACAATGGACCCGCCTGACGAGACAACGCACTCCTATTGCATGACTGCGCAGAGAGAGAATATTAGTAAGATGCGAAGAGATATGGCCGAACTATTCCCTATTGATAACCCGGCTGTGCCGAGCCACGAGAAGAACCGCATCTATGACCTGCTTGTACGTCATAACATGGTATTGGCGAAAGGATCCCATGACCTTGGCGAAGTATCGGGTGTCGAACACCGTATCCCAACAGGTGATGCTGCGCCAGTCCGAGTACCGCCTCGAAGAATTCCTTTTAAACAGCGTCAAGAGGTCCAACCAGAAGTGGAAGTGATGCTATCGAATGACGTCATCGAGCCGTTGACCTCTCCGTGGTGCGCTCCGGTCATCCTGGTGTCGAAAAAGGACGGGTCGAAGAGGTTTTGCGTGGATTATCGAAAACTAAACGAAGTAACAAAGAAGGACGTGTACCCCCTACCAAGGTGCGAAGACATCCTCCATACCATGTCGGGAGCTGCTTACTTTACCCACCTTGATCTAGTCAAAGGATACTGGCAGGTTAGCGTGGATGAAAATGACAAAGAGAAGACGGCATTCTCGACGCCCAACGGACACTTCCAATTTAAACGGATGCCGTTTGGCCTAACCAATGCTCCAGCTACCCTCCAGCGCACCATGAACACCATCTTGGGCGGACTTAACTGGCTAGACTGCCTCGTCTACCTGGACGACATAATTATCTTCGCACGTAACCTCGATGAACATTATGAACGGTTGAACGCGGTGCTGAGTCGCCTGGGGAAGGCTGGTCTAAAGTTAAATGCTCGGAAGTGTCAGCTGTTGAAAGAAGAAACGGTGGTCTTGGGACACGTTGTGAGCCGGAAGGGGATTTCTACAGATCCAGAGAAGATAAGAGCGTTGCGAGAATGGCCTAGTCCTGGTGATTTAACGAGTCTCCGCTCCTTCCTGGGCTGTGCCGGCTACTACTCGACAATTCATACCAAAGTTCGCGGACATAGCATCTCCTCTATACAAGCTGGAGCAGAAAGGGACAGCCTACCGATAGAGTCGAGAGTGTGAAAACGCGTTCCAGGTTTTGAAGAATAAGCTAACAACTGCACCAGTGCTGGCGTATCCTGAATTCGAGACCCCATTCATCTTAGACACCGACGCGAGTAATGAAGGACTTGGTGCCGTGTTGTCGCATGTACAGCAGGGAAAAGAGAGAGTCATTGTGTTCGCCGCGAAGTCTTTGTCCAAAGCTGAGAGAAATTACAGCACGACACGTAAAGAACTGCTAGCGATGGTGTGGGGGATGGAACATTTTGAAGCATACCTGTGGGGACAGCACTTCACTGTCCGTACTGGCCACAGTGCGTTGAAATGGCTACGAAGTTTCAAAAACCCCAAGGGCCAGATGGCTCGGTGGTTGGAGAGGCTAGCTGAATTCGAGTTTACCGTGGTACACCGATCGGGAGTCATGCATGGAAACGCTGACGGCATGTCGCGAATACCCTGTAACAGGAATGAGAGTGCGCCGGAAGAGAACGAGAGGCATGTGTCAACTGTTTCACCTCCAGCTGTGGTCACGAGTGGTCGGGAGATGGCACGGTACCAGGACGAGGACCCTTATATCAGCCAAGCGATCTTGTGGGTTATAGAAGGCAAACGTCCGCCGCGAAGCGAGACCCCTTGGGCTGGGCCCCTTGGTATCATCGCTGTGGAGTCAGTTTGGTAGACTCAAGATGCGGGATGACGGTGTCCTTTGTCGCGAGTACGAATCCGAGGATGGAAAGTCCATCTTTCTGCAGATATGCCTCCCGAGAAAACTAATCCCAGTTGTACTCAGCACATTACATGACATTCCAACCTCTGGTCATCTAGGAATTAACAAGATGACTCAGAAAGTGAAAGCGCGCTACTATTGGAAAGGCTGGGAAACGGATGTAGAGGAACATTGTCGCAACTGTGAGAAATGCGAGAAACACCACCCACCGCAAAAGAAAGGAAGAGCACCGCTGGTAACCAGTTCAACCGGATACCCCATGGAACGAGTTGCCCTTGACATTGTCGGTCCGTTACCCACAACAGCTAGAGGAAACCGATTTATACTGGTCATCTCAGATTACTTCACCAGGTGGGCAGAGGCTAACCCGATCTCTGATCACAAGGCACCAACTGTGGCAAGAAAACTGGTGGTCGAGTGGATAACGCGGTACGGGGTAATGCAAACGCTACACTCCGACCAGGGTCGGGACTTTGAAAGCAACGTCTTCTAAGAGGTGGTCAACATGCTGGGCATCCACAAAACTCGAACCACTCCATATCACCCAGAAAGCGACGGGTTGGTGGAGCGATTTAACCGCACATTGAAGAATATGCTATCTAAGTGTGTGGATGACAACCAACAAGACTGGGACATTTTGATTCCACAAGTGCTTATGGCATACCGAACAAGTGTACAATCATCAACTGGCGTCACACCATTTCGCATGATGTTCGGCAGAGAAGCTCGCTTGCCTGTAGATATCCTAGTACCTGGAGATATTCCAACCCAACCAGCACAGAGTGCTTCCGAGTATGTTAAAGAATTGAAAGGTCGATTCCAAGCGGCACACGAGTTGGCACGTGAGAAAACAAAGAGATCTACTCGAAGGTATAAGGACTACTATGATGCAAGAGTACAAGGAACACCCTACAAAGTTGGTGATCGAGTTTGGCGAATGGTGCACTTTGTCAAAAAAGGACAATCGAAGAAACTGTCAGCATCATGGGAGGGTCCATATATGATCGTAAAGAAAATAACTCATGTGGTGTACCGCTTAAAGAAGTTAGGTAGCCGCAAACAGGTGGTTGTGCATTTCAACAACATAAAGAGATGTAGACATTCGCAGAATCCCGAGCGCTCGGAGAAAACGTTGGACCAACCGGTCAGTCAGAGGGGCGAGCAATCCAGCACAGTAAACAAAAAGACTGTAAAGACGTTCCAGCAGCATGCCACTTATGACGAGGACGATGATGATTGGTTGTGGGAATCAAGCAGTCAACCATTCCTCTCCACTCAATCCGGAACAGAGACACTGAGAAGCAGCAGCCGGGCAGCCGGAGGAAACCCCAGTAACGTTGATCCAGTTACAACTCAACCGCTAATGACAAACAAACCGAGGCGTAATCGACAACAGCCAACATGGATGCGTGACTATGTTCTCGGGGATTGATTTTTCGACACTTATTGACATTTCTATTATTTATATGATAACTAATAAAACCTCTGCCTTTTCTGTAGAGGGGGATAATGT